TTTTTTTTTATAAAAATTATTATTAAAATGAATATTTTAAACATATTTATATCATTGTAATTGGCTTGTTTCCATTCTTTCCAGGATGAAGCTGTTTCCTAAAAATTTTCCATTCTTTTCGTAGTGTTTCCTTATTCTTCCTTTCCTGCAATTTTCTAATTTGATTTTCCCATCTCCTGTTGAACCTACGAGTGGCCCAGTGGATAAAACCACTAAACATTAGTATTTGGTCTCAGATTAGCTTCTCATCAATGGGTTGGTCACGTAAAATTTTCCGGCTTTTTTCAGCTATCTAACACCTAAATAAAGGACAATTTCACATAGAAAGTTTCCCCTTGAGCCACTTTCCCTTGGATGTGTTACCCCGCCTTATCCTATTAATCCACATCCTCTTGGTCTTCTCTTCTCTATTAATATAAATATGAATAATTAATTTTATTATTAATTAAGTTTAAGTATTTTTAAAATTAAGTATAAACATTATAAGTGTGATGTTCTACTAAAGTTGAAATTTAAATGAAAGCATTATTATTATTATGTTAATCAACAACATTACATCGAGCTTTGTAATTATTAAACTAACAAAAAAATAAAGATATATTGAATATAATTTTAATTTTCTGTGGACCTGAAAAAGATCCTCTCATTCCCCACATTGAAGAAAGAGTCTAAAATAATATATTTTCTGTCAAAACACTTAAAAAATTATTTTTAATACTTTAAACATCGTAAATCTACTACATAAAGTTAGTAAAATGTTCCTTTCTTGTTAACAGTTAATTAATTCGTAATGTAATATGAGACGAGGAGAAAATGAAATGTATTTGCAATTGTACTAAACCAAAAAAAAGAAATATTTCAAATTAATTTAGATTTATTCTATGTATAATGTTATCGAATTATCATTTCTATGAATTACCGGAAAAAGATTTAACAAGCTACTCGCTCGTTATACATTAAAAAAGTGTTGTTAAATCATTTTTCGTAAAAGAATAAGTAATTATAAAGATTACTGCCTCACGTAAAATGAATATATTCATGAGAAATGCAGATAAGAAGATATTATATAAGATAAAAGTAATGAGACAAAAACAGTAAAGAAATTTCAACGGAATATCGCAATTCCCATTTATTACGGATCGTTTTTCATGTAATGCCCGAGGCATTTTTTGGTGAAAATGAGCCGGACGATAATCTGTACGATTTTTTTTTATTACGGTAATACTTTAAAAAGTTACTTTTTTCGAGATAATGCTGTAAATCAGCTTTGAAAGACAGTATCACACTGCATGTTAGAAACATCACACTTACAATTACTGTTACACATTATATGTCTTCTTCACGTTTTACATCTTTAAAATGCGAACAACATTGGGCAGTAAACTCCTGCATAATAATCAGAATCGTTCGGTATAAATATAAGAAATTAAAATAAATTTTAAGTAAATTGTTTTTTTTTCAATTAACAATACAGTAGACACCCCTATAACACTGTAGATAATTCCGTGTTATATGAATCCCATGTTGTACGAGTCACTTAGGTTTTACAAATACATGAGCCGTTCACAGCCCGGCACACGTATTTGTAAAATCTAAGTGACTCGTACAACATGGGATTCATATAACACGGAATTATCAACAGTGTTATAAGGGGGATCTACTGTATGTTTACTTCAAATTTTGTTAAAAATGTTTTATCATTTCGAGTTGATATAATAATGTAGGTTAAGTAAATTACCTGGAAAGATTTCATAGATAAAAATAAAGTATTTGAAACGGTAATTTTTATTGGGAAAATATTTACAGGAAATTTAAATATGTTAAAAGAACATTAGATGAATACAAATATATAATATTATATAATCATGTAATCTATCATTTTATATTTATATTATTCTAATTATCTAACTTTCTAATTACGTCTTTTATCTTTAAATCAATGCATATTAAATTAATTGAGTTCAATTAACATTTATAAAAAGATTACTTTAGAAAAGTTTTTTGAGACTCGTTGAATTAATTTATTCTAATAATAAGTAAAATGCACCAATACAGATAAGAAATATTGTACTTTATTTAAGTCACGTAAGTGTGATTTAATGTTATATATATATTATAGGCTATATATAATTAAAGTAAATGAAATAAAATACCTTTTAATGTCTAAAGTATAAATACGAATAATTACAATTAAAGTACGTAAAAAAACCAGTCTGAAACTACCAGAATTATATTGATTTCTGTTTATTCTTTCATACTTAATGCATAGCTCTGAGTAAGGATGAACGAATAACTTAATTATTTTAATGGTGGAAATCGCACAGTCAGCGTGAAAATTGCCGAAAAATTTAACAGGATGTTGCGTGTTAACTTTTTCGGAAGGTTACGCTGATCGCGAGTCTCCACTATCAAATTATACTTACTCAGAGCCATGCTTTATTCATAAAAGAATAAACAAAGCTCAATATAATTCCTATGGTTCTAGTCCAGTTCTTCCAAACGACCTCTTAGAGGTTGATGTAAGTTTGCAAATATTAATTAAAAATTTTACATAGTCTTTTAAAATACAATTAGGAAGATGTCTTTTAAAAATCCTGCAGGAGGGCTGTGGCATAAATATGTAATTTATAATATTCAAGTGCTAAATGGAAAAAAAAAATTCTTAAAAGAGGTCAATACATGAAAAAGATTAGAAACTCCAGTTCTAGACTTATGTGACACTGTATAATTAAAGAATATTTAAATGACTTTTGAAATAATTTAGTTTTTCGATTTATATTTATTTTTTGTAGAAGATTTTTAAATTAAAAATGTTTTATTTTATTTATACAATTTACGTAAAAATTATTTAAAAAATTATTAAAATATTTCTGAATATAAAATAAGATCTTATTCACCTTGATCTATGACTTTAAAAAATAAAAAGAAACAAAGGTAAAGGTTACTTCTACATATTTATCATACAAAATATAGAAATTATGCATTTTCCGCTTGTATAATTTTTCTATAATATATAATACAAGGTTGCATATATATATATTGTGATACTTGTTTCTTTTACCTGAAAATTAAAAAAAATACGATTACTTTTATATTGATATTTTAATTACTTTTTCTTCTTGTAGACAATTTCCAGTTTGATAAACATTATATTACACTTTACCTGTTGACATTTTCAGTACATGAAGATATGAAGAAAAAAAAAACAGTTTTATGTTTACTGTATTTGGGTTAAAGTGCTCTTGATAAGATTTGCTTTGACATTATTATTAGTATTAAATTTAACAACTAAAAAGCGAACATATCTTCATATACGTAAAAAGTTCTTATATTTACTGTTATTTACATGCCTTTACATACGTTAAATTTTCTACATCAAAAGATATTTTTATGATTTTTCTATTATTTAATAATAGTATTTAAATTACTATTTTTAATTAATACAGAATGAATGAAGAGTAAACTAAAGCATAATTGTCACAAGACCTGTAATAGATTGCACAATGAGAAGAAATTGCAATATTATTTTAGAATAGACGAAAATGCATTTTTGATTTTATATAAAGTTAACAGTTGGATGAATATTGATAAAACAAAACTTATTAGTCTTTTGTGGTGTTATCTGTTAAAAATAACTTCAATGACCACGTGACATTCTGCAATCCTAAAACAATGGTGTTACGTTAAAACAAAAGATTATTCCGAAGTTGTTTATTAATAGCAATACATTTTAGATTCGTATATTTCATTTTATTTTATTTATTTCTCAAAATACACTGTGGCAAGGTTGGCCTTATATATTCCATTTTCACAATGGGCAGCCGGGTGGTGAGAGATGAGGCTCGATGCAAGACAATTTAAAGTATTTTTAAATACTTTAAATTGTCTTTTAAATATCAAATTAAATAAATAAATAAATAAAATTGATAAAAAGTTTTTAAATAATTTTGTTTTTTTTTTTAACTTTAATTTTAAAAGAGTTATTTTGATCGCTCTTTGATTTATTCAAGATAATTAAGTCTATTATGATAAATATATGAGAAGAAACGTCAAAAATAATTGAGGATAATCTAAAACAGAATAGATGATAAATAATATTATATTTAGGATAATTAATACGATGAAACTATTAAAATCTTTAATAATGTAATCCATCATGGTTTTCAATTAAGTACGGTAAATAGTTAAGAAAGTGCCAAATAATTTGATGGACATTTTGAAGGAAAACAGTCAATGCTCTCAACCATAAAAAACAAGCGTCTGTTATACACAAAGCGTATTATTCTATAGAGCATGATTATAATCTTACATTTCACTCTAATCCGACTGGTTATGATCAAAACCCATGATCTTTTTAAAGAATTTCTAAATTTTATTTGTGGGAAAGAAAACTTTTATTGAAGTCAACTCAAAGATAAAAATTTCAATTTTTATTTTAAATTAATGTTTAATTATATTGTTATGTTCTTTTTCCATTCAACGTTCAAAGTATATAAATAGTTCTGCCTGAAAATGTTTATACAGTAAACAAAAGATTTATATAAAAAGTAATAAATGAAACTTTATTTTTAATTTTGTACATTATAATAAAATATTAGAATAAATTCATTGTATCTATACCGGTATTTTTCAGCATTAATTTCTATCAGTTTGTTGTACTTGTTTACATTAATATCTGCATAAATTTATATTTTTTACTTGTGTAAGTCAGTCTAAATTACACCTAGATGATGAGTTATTATGTTAAAATGAATTTTCATAAAAGTAAAATGAATATTTACAAAACATGTCGTGTATATTGAATTCTAAAATCTTATTATATTGAAAATCAAATTTATTTTGAAATTGATATGACTTATTAGCATTATGGTTATAATCATTATCGTCATCATTTTAATTAATTCGCCTTTTCAAACAGGAGAACTTAATTTGATCAGTAAGGTATTAAAATTTAATTATATGTGTAATTTAATTTATGAATAACTTTAAAAATATTTATTTTTCCTCCTCTTTTAAAAACTTTCTGATATCATCTTAATATTGAAAATCCACGTGTAAAAGAATCTTTTGGTTTTTTGCTGTCATTTTATGTGTCATAAAATTTTAATTACTTATTATAAAGATAAATTGTAGATTTCTTGTAATCGAGTTTTCTATATTCCCAGAGGAAGTGATATGATTATACTTTGGGCTATAATACGAGTCATTTCCATCAACCTGATTATATTAACCTTAAAGTTTTGCGGAATTATAAAAAAAATATATAAGATATTTATCACGAATTTCGTTATCCCGAAACGATAATTATTAACAGGTTATTCAACTTAAAATAAAGTAGAAAGATATCTGAACGAAAGAATAATTATCTTACTTTTTAGATCTTCACCAGGAAGGGACTAGAATATAACTAATTTAATGAATTTTTTTTTCTTTTTTTGTCTCCATCTTATAGAACCTTTATAGACCTTATAGACAGGGCTTTTAATCATATTGGTCGTGGGTTTGATCAGAGTCACAAACGGCGGATGATAAGGGACACCCCGAAAAATTTTTGGGGAATTTTGCTTGCAAGAATTCTATTCCGAATACCCTAAAGCGAATAACTGAATGGGCCATCCGGCCATCGATTAATTTAATTTGTATGTAATTAAACAGAGGGAAAATTGAATTAAAAAATAAGCATTTAATATAATTAGAAATTTTTACGTTATTCGAGAAATTTATTATATAATTGAACAACCTCTTACAAAGTTATCCCGCTGCCTGTCAATAATTAAATTTAATTTTAAAATTAATTCTGAGTATCTTTCTTGTATAGGATCAAAATATAAACTGATAACGATCAACTACTATTAGATTGTTATTTTAGCAGCTTAACATATATCTTAATTAAATATTTCTATTTAATCGTTCTATTGTTAGTGCATGATATTTCGAACAGGTAACGCTCTTATTCCTTTCCTTTTAAAGGTCAGAAAATAAATAAATATATTTATATATATATATGTATAGAAATAACAGATTAACAAATCCAACTAAATGAGAATTAAAAAAAATATATATATATAAAAAAAAGATTCTATTTTTACCGATTGACTAAAATTATTCTTAGGATTAATATTGTGGCAGAAAAATTACTTTCGTTATACACAAAAGTATTTTTTTTTAAGCATCTTCTTTGAAACATCAAAATTATAAAAATAGCTGTCAAAACGATAATAATGTATCAAGCGTGATGTTTTTGTTATAAACTATATTTTCCTTTAGAAATGATTCGATTGTTAGATGTGACGTAATTACGTAAACAGGTAACGGTGCTCTCTATAGTCCGTTAGAACGAAATTGAAAGATGTCGACTGCCTTTCCTTTATTTAGAAATAAAAATTTTTGTTTACAGGTTTTTCCTCCCCCGGGTCGACTTTCCTTCTTTTGATAGGAGGCCTTAGGGCATTAAACATCTTAGAAGTATCTTTGTGAGAACGACTATATAAGGAACACCTAGAATGCATGTAGTCATCAGTTCTCATTCTGCTTTCAAGATGAAAGTTCTGGTAAGTTTTCTCAATTGAAATCATATAATATATATTAATTGTTCTTTCTTTTGAAAATTTATATATTTTAAAATTATATCTTACTTATAAATTTTAAATGTTATATAATATAATATAGAAAATTTTTGAATAGTACTGGTTGATGACCTTTTAGAATACTGTGATTAATTTTATGGTGTGTCTGTCTCTATTCTGGAACACCATAGTATCTTTCATACCCGTTGGCCATAGTTAAAAATAGGACAACAATTTGCAGTTATAGGAAGGTCCATTTTTTTACAGTTTTGATTTTTCGGACGATGAACGGAAGGTGACTCATCTATATATAAGAATAGTTGAATCAACCATAAAAGAAAAATAATGAAAATTAGCTGTATTAGCTTATTTATTAACTTTACAGTTGTTTTATATTCTTAATAACTAACTTAATTTATATTTTAAACTTCTCGTAATATATTTTGTTAAATTTTAATTAGAGATTATTTTTTCTTTTAGGTGCTAATATTCTCAGTACTAACGTACACTAGAGCTACTTATTATATATATCAAGATCCATGGTACGGACCATGGAGTAGTAGTGGAGGATGGGTTGATCTCGCTTTGTTAGGCAAACCACTTGCATTAAAGTCCCTTGGAGGTGGAATTGGTAAAGGTGGCGGAGGAGGAGGAGGTGGTGGAGGAGGAAAAGGATCTGGTGGACTGGATTATTTAAAACTTCTAAGTAAAGCAGGAGGATTGAAAGGAGGTGGAGGTAAAGGTGGAGGTGGTGGAGGAAAAGGATTGGGTAGTTTCGGAGGAATTGAAGCACTGAAATTACTTGGAGGAGCAGAAGCCCTTAAAGGTTTTGGTGGTGGAGGTGGAGGAAAAGGCGGATTCGGCGGACTTGAAGGACTTAAATTACTTGGAGGAGCAGAAGCTCTTAAAAGTTTAGGTGGTGGTGGAGGTGGAGGTGGAGGAAAAGGAGGATTTGGAGGTCTTGAAGGCTTAAAGTTACTTGGAGGAGCAGAGGCTCTTAAAAGTTTTGGTGGGTGGAGGAAAAGGAGGATTTGGAGGTCTTGAAGGACTTAAATTACTTGGAGGAGCAGAAGCTCTTAAAAGTTTTGGTGGTGGCGGAGGAGGAGGTGGAGGAAAGGGAGGATTTGGAGGTCTTGAAGGCTTAAAGTTACTTGGAGGAGCAGAGGCTCTTAAAAGTTTAGGTGGTGGTGGAGGAGGCGGTAAAGGAGGATTTGGAGGTCTTGAAGGATTGAAATTACTTGGAGGAGCAGAAGCTCTTAAAAGTTTTGGTGGTGGTGGTGGTGGTGGAGGAGGAGGCGGAAAAGGAGGATTTGGAGGTCTTGAAGGATTAAAATTACTTGGAGGAGCAGAAGCTCTTAAAAGTTTAGGTGGCGGTGGAGGAGGCGGAGGCGGAAAAGGCGGATTTGGAGGTCTTGAAGGATTGAAATTACTTGGAGGAGCAGAAGCTCTTAAAAGTTTTGGCGGTGGCGGAGGAGGCGGCGGCGGAAAAGGCGGATTCGGCGGACTTGAAGGACTAAAATTACTTGGAGGAGCAGAAGCGCTTAAAAGTTTCGGAGGTGGTGGAGGAGGCGGAGGCGGAAAAGGAGGATTTGGTGGACTGGAAGGTTTGAAATTACTTGGAGGAGCAGAAGCCCTTAAAAGTTTAGGCGGGTTAGGAGGAAAAGGCAAAAGTGAGATTGAAGAGTTAAAATTATTGGGGGGAATAGAATCTTTAAAGGGTTTGGGTAGTTTATTAGGAGGAGGTGGATCTAAAGGAGGTGGAGGTGGAGGTGGAGGCAAGGGTGGAAGCGGAGGTTTTGGTGGACTCAAAGGTCTAAAACTGTTAGAAGGCGCTAAAGCAGCGAAAAGTTTTGGCGGAGGCGGTGGCGGAGGATTTGGAGGAATTGAATCTTGGAAACTCCTAGGCAGTGGCGGTGGTCTAGGAGGAGGTTGGAAATGGTGATTAAAAAGGCATTCAAACCAAAGGTGGTGCGTATAATTTTTTTTTTGATAGATTAAAATATTAAATTCGTATTTCTAATTTTTTATTACTTTTATTTTTCAGATCATGAAAATACCATTTTTATTAAATTCATATTTGATTGTATAGTGTTCCTAAGTGAGCAAATGTTGTAAAAACTTTGTTATTTTTATATAATTTGTATAATAAAAATCATTTTGCGTTATGATTTTAAATACATTTTGATTTTATTATTTCAATATTTGTTTTATATAATAATTGGAAATATAAAAACAATATCGAATCGTTTTGAAGATAAAATTACATTTAATTATTATATTGTTAATATGAAATAATTAAAAAACTTTTAAAATTATTATATTTAAAAAATGTTTCTCATTTCTTATCCACTGGTCGACCTTAAACGGATCGGGCATGCCCGTAATGGGTTATAACCCACAATGTGCTGGTGTCTTGCATTAATTAATTAATCAAACAATTTAAAAATATTTTTAAGAAACTGTTTTTACGAATTTAACATTAATAGTTTATTTAAGTTTCAAAAAGACAAAATGAGATTGTTTCATTCGCCTGAATGGTTTTACATTTTGTCAATCATAATTTTAAATTTTTCATTTCTGGAAATAATAATATAAACTCCTTAGAAAGTAATTAATAAATTACAAACACACATTTTAATTAATGAGAAAATAATTTATTTGGCAATTTAAGAAAATGAAAATATGAACGAAGAGATTAAGGACAAAGTGACTAAAGCTTCGGTATTCGCTAGAATCTGATCCAATGTGACCTAAAAAAGGAAAATTTATATTAGTTCTTAAATACATTACGTAATTTAACTTATATAGAATAAATATTTGAAAGAGACTTACTGATATTTTCATAATGCTTATTAACCAACAACTGGGACTCCTGATAATCCTCCATAAGGACTAATTTTTCCACCGCCGAAAGGCCCCAAACCTACACCACCAAGATGACTAATGCCCTTGGCACCGCCGAAAGGCCCTAAACCTACACCACCAAGATGACTAATGCCCTTAGCACCACCAAGACCTCCTAAACTTCCTCCGCCGTATGGTCCAATGGCTTTAAGACCAGTAAGAGCTCCTAAATTACCAACGTTATATCCTCCTTGGTTTCCCCATCCAGTACCCCATCCTACAGTTTTGTAGGGAATGACATATCCTCCATGTCCAGTGACTCCTTTTCCGTATCCTACTCCTGGTGTGAACCAATTGGTGGTTGTATAGGTGGTTGCCGAAGCAGTAGCAACAACAGCCAAAAGCAACAACTATAAAAAACAATTTTTAATTTATTTAATATCTATGCCTTCCACCTCAAATTAGTAGTGTGTTGCCCCTGTACATCATACTTTTCCTGTTAGCAATTGAGTCGTGCCTTTCACCTATATAACGCCTTTCAGGGGAAAACTTTTAAATTGAAATAACGTAATTTCCGGTTTGCATCGGAAGTTCGCATATAGTTAATCTGGACCTCCTGCCCTAAGTTTTTCATGTCTGGTCTCGGCTTTCATCTATCTAACACTGTTCTCGAGATTAAGGAAAGGACAGACAAACGACAGTGGCAATTTATAGCTCTACAACTTTTTCAAATTGTTGCCCAACTAAATCGTGTGCATTTATTTAATTATTAAAGCAAAAAATGGATAATCCGTTATTTTCAATTAAATAAAGCATATTTAATGCTTACTTCATTATTTACATAAAAAATGAAAGAAAATTTAAAATATTTTCATAAATTTCATTAAAGATTATTTTTTGAAAGTTTCGAATGTTTCAAAGAGAAATAATTATTATAAATTCTTGATTCTGATATATATATTAATAAATAACATTTCTCGATTGTTATTAGAAAATTGGTAACATTGTATTGATAATAAATCTACAAAAAATAATGCATTTGCACATTGGTAAAATTTATGATAAAGATATTCAGATATTTTTCATATATTACGTNACGTCCTTTATGAAGGCATAGAGCCTTTACTACGTGAAAATGAAAATTAATGAATACACTGTGTACAGTAATTTACCTGATAAGACAGACCTCAAAAAAATACTTTATGAGGCATAAAGCTGTCTATAATGAAAATTAATTAACTAAGGATTTTTTTGTTCTGCCAGGGTGTGGCCGAGTTATCCGGAGTGCCGGGTTATCGAGTGCCGAGTCTTCAAACTCTACTGTATTAAATATTTTAAAATATATACTTACAAGATATTTCATCTTGATCGTAGAATTTGCGTTCTGGATAGGACTAAAAGCTTTAAGAGTACAGTTCACTTAGGGTGTATGCTCTTTTATACTCTCAGATTATGACCCCATGACCCAACAACTCACCCTGGATGCAAAAAATGTGAACTCAATTTTTATAGATCTTATTGGGAAATAAACATTAGCTTGTGTTTTGCGTGTTCTACATTATGATCCTAAAGTTTCTAATATAAAAAAATAAGTCTTATTTTTCAAAATATTTTACTTTGTCTGAAAATACATTGAATAGTATAAAAAAATGATTTTTGAAATTTTTTACGAGCAGCATTTAGTAAGATACGTGTGCAATAAAATAAAAATTGTTACAGCATTTTACGAAAGCAAAGTAAAAAATAAATCAATTAAATAAAAATGTTTTAACTTAAATGCAATTAACTATTAGATATGCCTACGTGTATATTAATTGAAGAAAGAGTAAAGAATTTAGAGATATGTTTGTTAAGATTTCTACAATTATTTTATATAAAATAAATGTGTAAACCTTATAAATTTTATAAACAATTGTATGATAAAACATTGATTATTATACAATTATGTAATCTACTTTAAAACTTAAGATATTGAAAACTGTTTATAAGGAAATACACTAAATATTTTAATTAATAGTCTACTTTTCATATTTTCTACGTGTAGATAGTTGAAAATTTAAGTCATAACGTTAATTAAATATGAGGATCATTTGAACAGAATATTTATTATTAAATCTTATAAATTATAATATATATAAATATATAACTCGATATTTTCTTTTCTTTTAAATTATTATTCAAATTAAATAACTGATATGAAGTCATATTTCACTAATTCTAATTTTGCGTTGCCAGATAATGAAATCAGGTTGAACGAACACTCAAATGGTTCATAAAAACTTTCATCTAACTAGTAAGCAATTTCTGTGTCACAAGATATCCATGTTGCAACTCCATTTCGGAATATACAAAGTTTTTCCTGAAAAATGGCGGAATCGATTTTTTTCTTTCTAAAGATTACACGTGTCACTGAGTTTCAACAAAATAAATAATATTAAATATTTCAGTCTTCTAGTTAAAATCATTTTTTCCTTCAATAACAATAGCATTTTTTATTATTGTTATGGAACACCTTTTTTTTTAAATCTTTATTTATAACTTTAAAACTGCTCTTTTAATTATCTCACTTAGTTTATATTTATCAAATCACTTTAAATTTATTTATTTGAAAGTAAATTTAATTATAAACTTTATATTTTTATGATATATTTAATTTATAATTTACATAATTGTCTCAAATATCGATTCGGTGTAATAAAATATTCATTTAAAAAATATATGTTATTAAAATATTAAATAAAATATTGTTTATTAATTGTTCAATATTAATATAATAAGACTTTAAAATATTTGAATATTAAAGAGACGATTGATATCATTACACAATTAATTTGGATTGGTGAGATAAAGCAATGCTTGAGCCATCTGCATGGGATGACTTTCAGGAGGACTTTTTATGGGAAAACTGGCCCCATTTAGGTTTTAGACATGTGAAGATATCTTTGTTTATGTGTTAGGCACTTGAAGAAAATCAGGAAAACTTCACGTAATGCTCGAACCCGCGACCAACCACCACTCTTCAGTGGTTCTATCCATTCGTCAACAGGTTGGCACTATATATCGTTTGAGAGATTTATTTAAATTTTTATAACATTAATTTAAGAAAATTATTCGATTTGTTATTGTTTTATTTTTAAAATAATATTCTTAAAACAAATCATGATCCGTTAAATTTTTTTATAATTAATGAGTTAAGTCTCAAAAACCGAAATTCTCAGCACAGTAATATTCATCATTTTAATGAAAAGCTCATATAAAAAAACTGTACCTGTGATAAATATAATTAAAGCTAATTATAAGATGTAAAATGTAATTAGTAAATGTTGTTTTCAAAGATTAACTCCATTCGATAAGATCTTTTTGTATTCAGAAAATTCAAGGTTGTGCACAAACCGTTTGTTTAATGTATTTTCTTATTCAAAAATTATCATAATTTAAGAACAAAGAAATGGATAAATTATAATTAAACTTTTAAAATTTTTTTTACAAAATATTTGCTGTTTGTTTAGACTTTCCTAATCCTTAAATCACGTTACTAAAAAAATTATATTACTAAATAGGATATTGTTATTTACACTTTGTGAAATTAAACACTTTATAAAAAAATAAATAAAAAGGAAATTTTATAAAAACTATTTCCTGAATAATTTTCTTATCTTATTTAGAAATATTAAATATTAATATTTTCCTCACAGATTTTATTTGAACTTTAAATATCTATTTATATTGTTAATTATTTGTTTAAGCACGCTACACGGATGTTATTGCCCTTAAATTTACGAGTATATATATGAATATTTTTTTTTATAATAATTAAATCTTTAATAAATTATCAGAGTTGTTTTAGAGCAACGTTCTCTTTATTTTTATTGATACAAAATCTTGTTTTTTATATTTATTTAACAGTCTTTAAACGAAACAGGAACTATAAATTTGATGAAATAGACCAAATGAACATTGTATTAAACAATATATTTTTATTATTATTTTTTACGTTGAATTCTATAAAGCTATTGTATTTTGTAATAAATAAATATTTATGCATTTTGCATTCTATTTTAATTAATAGAAATACGAATTTATAAAAGTAAGAAATGATATAGATTTAATAAAAATTATTTTATATTTTTAAAATAAATCTTTAAAATCATGTGAGTTGGCCAAAGCGCCCTGAAGAACCGGAATTGAATCTGGATTGGTAGAAACTAGGAATTTTTCGGATGCTGGTCCATCCCCCTTCCTTCACCATGTCATCCTATTGTTTGTCTGCTTTCACCGCCCTATTTGTGGGCTTAGCCCTACCCATGATGGCCTAAAAAAAGGCCTCTAAGTGCCTTCAGAGAGAAAAACGTAAATAAAAAAAATGTAATTTGAAGTTACAAATTTGACTTGTCAGTATTAAGATATTTAAAGTTTATAGTTAAAGTTTATGATGTTAAATATGAATTTTTAATAGTGCTTAGACCTATTTTACTTAATTAATTTAAAAAATATCTTTGTTCAAAATTCAAATTTGTAGACAAGGATATTAATTTCTAAAGTTTTTAACTTTAGAAATTAACATCCTTGTTAATTTCTTATCAACATTTAATAATAATTCTGTTTTATAATTAATAAGTAGGCTGTATTATATTTTGTATTATGCAAATTAAACTTTTAAAAAAGAATTTAATAATAATTATTATTATTATTAGGCCCAAATATTTCTATAAAATTGCAAAGATAATAAAATATCTTATTTAAATATTCCTGTTTGGAATAGTATGCTGCTAATATTAATAATCTAAAGGCGTGAAGTATGACAGATATATTGTATAATAAAGATTGAAGGAAAAAATAACAAATAAAAGATTAATTTCCTATTTTCGTCACTTGGATATAAAAGACATTCTCATCTTGACAGGATAACAATTACATGAGTAGTTGCTTAAGCTATTTCTACGGCGATTATAACCTGTTATATTCAAATGACACTACTATTAACAAATGTGTTACACGCCGGTCCAATGTAATCAAATAAAAGTATGCTGCTCTTCGAGTTAGTTAGTAATTGATTTAATCTCGATATCTCAAAAACTGCATATACAAAACAATCGAAGCATCACATAGAATAAAATTAGAGACCAGTGGCGCGCCGTCATTGGAAGCGGTGGATGTGCCGCTTCCCTTGTATCTTCTAAAAAAATAAATACATATTAATTTTAATTATATGAAAATAATCGCACAATATTTTATTATAACCGCATTATGTATCTTATTACAAATTTCTATACTATACGTGAAAAAAAGATAAGATTGCTATTGAATATTCGAATATTAGTGGCGGAGTGGAAGCGCTGTATCGTCAGCATCCGAAAAGCCAGATTCGCGCACGCGCTTTACAAAGCACCAACCTCACTTTAGCTGGCGAAAGCTAGGACCTCGGGTGGATGCTACGCGTATACCGCATCGAATTCTATCCAGGACCGGTTCTGGGCTGTTAGCCGCCTGCCTGCTAGATATTTGGCCCCCCTCGCCCGATTACGTGAATCACGAGTAGATTTATAACTTAACCCAATCGATAAGAATTTACTGGTATGTTTTTACGATAGTTCTGTATAGTTGAATTTTCCTTAAATTTACGATTTATGTATCCGTTGTCATAAAAATTTGTCTTTCCACTTTTTTCCCGAGACTACAAATATTTGAGTACAAAGTAACTGGTTTCGACTTATTTCTACTTAAGAAGTAGTTAAATAATTAAGCGATTAGGGAATTGGGGACATAAACAAAACCCCGATGAAAGAGCCGGAATATTACTTAAACAAAAGCTTAACTGAACCATCTCTAGCCGAGTACAGTGGGGCCTGATTTCTTCGTATTATTAATGTAATAAAGACAGAAATTTTTCCAGTTCGATGAGAGTGAACGAAAAGTTGTAAATTTTGAAAAGTTCTGAGGACACTTGGTCCTAAAACGAATTACTCAGAAAACAAATGACTATTAAGTTTAACATATTTAGATCTTTACAGTTATGGTGAGAAACGTTTAAAATCTACAACAGCCCTGTCGCGTCCTTTGAGATATACTAGTGATGCGACAAAAGAGGCATTTCACATTGACCGGTATCGGCACCCTGGCGATTTGGCAGTCCGCGTGTATGCACGCTCTGCAACCGTCTTCGATTCCATCCATTAGCCACTCGTAGGTCTGATTCGACGGGATATGGCAAGGCTGATGGTGCATTGCCATCTCCCGTGTGTTACCAGAAGGACAATCTTCCAAGAGAGTACCTCCTGGGTGGCCTTTCTTTTAGAAGCTGGTCCTATTGAGGTGTTAGACACGTTAATGAAGGTTCCCTGTCAAAAATTTATGAAATAAAAA